ACACACACACACACACACCTTTCCACTCTCTCCCACAAACAAGCACACACATAAACACACAAACAAAAACCCACATATACATACGCACACCTCGAGCGAGCACGCTTACTTCAGTAACCAGCTCACCTACACAAGTACGCCGACAGTCCAAATTACAACACCTCTCCTCCTCCTCTTCCTCCCTCCTCTTTTTCGAACGCCTGTTATCAGGGGGGTCGCAAACGTCACAGAACACGCGACCATTTCTGTCCGTGAAAAACAAAACAACCAACAAAAAACAGGCTAATTGCATGCAATAAATAAAGAGTCAATTAGATTTAAAGATATTGCCACACTCCTTTTCTCCCTCCATTCCTATATGTCTGTCTCCAGCTCTCGACGTCCGAACGAGACAAACAGTTCCAATAATCAGCATCTACTACTGCTGCTGTAAATGGTAATGATAATGACAGTGATAATGACGATTATAATAATAATAAATAGCACTGGTATAGCGCACATCCTTGTTTTACAGAAATCGTTAAGCTCTTTACACTAATTATTAACACCCCAGCAGACCCTAGAGCACCCAGCATCATTCTCGGCTTCCCAGGAAGCATAATACAGAGCAAATAGCTGATAAAGCGCTCACACACTAACACAACTACAAGATCTTTCGCTATCATCGTCGGACCTAAAAGAAGCATCCTTGAAGCTCCTGATCCCGGCTCCGCTCTGAGCTTCGTGGCCTGGGTAAGAGCAAGACCTCAGGGGGTACCAGCCGTTGTAGTAGTAGGATGGAGCCCTTTCACTTGCTATCTGCAGAGACAAACCATCTTAACTCTAAGTATACGGATGGCTATTCCATGTTTGCACGCAGCTATATATATGTAATAATAGGCCTAATGATGATGATGATGGTAACGGCAGTGGTATATTAACAAAGAATTTTGTCATTCGAAGAAAAAAAAATGATGATGATGATAACGGCAGTGGTATATTAACAAAGAATTTTGTCATTCGAAGAAAAAAAAAATGATGATGATAACGGCAGTGGTATATTAACAAAGAATTTTGTCATTCGAAGAAAAAAAAAATGATGATGATGATAACGGCAGTGGTATATTAACAAAGAATTTAGTCATTCGAAGAAAAAAAATGATGATGATGATGATTATGATACTGCAGTTTCTGCGCATCACAATTGACATACATGTACTTCCTTATAACTCCGTTCCAATCGAACAGATTTGCATAAAATAAACACCAAACTGAATAGAAATTAATACTGCTTGAAAAAAAAACCCCAAAAACATTACGGTTCCAATAAAGGTTTCAAGAATAGCTTGAGAACATGTAGTAAAAAGAAGCATATTAATCAAGAAGAAGCTTGATACTTACCAATCTCCCGTTACAGACGACGTGTCTCTCAGAGACCGGCCGTGCAGCTCTCTCTCCCAGCCTGTAGTTCTTCACCGATTTGTTGGGTAAGGACAATCCCGCCATGACGGTAATTGTTTACAGATTACAGATAACAATAACAAAAGCACCCAGTTCATCTAAGCGCAATGTTCGGCTGGGTGGCCATAGGCAGGCAGAAAGAACGCTTATGTCGCAGGAAGTAAACCCCAACCGGAAGTGCAAGCGAAAGAACAATATCAAGTTCAGCATAATTTGAAGCACTATTATTGATTATGTTCAAAGATATTTAAATAAGTATTTTGTTGCGTCGTTGGCAGTCCTTGTTTATGCAACACTTCATGAAGAAGCCAATTGTGTGAGCTTCCCCGGTTGCTGCATTACGAACATAAAGGACAGACTGATTGTAAGAATGAGTAGCCTACAAATCGCTGCCCTATAATTACAAAAGTTCTATCTAGTTTTGAGAAATTTGACGTTAAAATTTAGAGTTTCACAACATGTCAAGCTTTTTCGAATACAATGTTTTGAATATCTTGATAACGAATCCTATACAAACCTTATGATTTTGACAGAGCAGATATAATATTAATTTTGTTTCCTGACCACGTGGTCTTGGAGTGGATCGCTAACTCAAAACAGCCAAAGGTGTCAGATAGAACTTTGTCATTCTATGATACAAAATGTGTCACGACGCAGTGGAATCAGACGCTCCTCAATTTCCGGGCATTTGGGGTTATTGTATCATCTTAAAGTCTGATCATTTGCCTTTCTTTTGGTAAAAAAAATATCCATCTATGTTTAATAGAAGTCGAAATATTTGCGATTGAAGGAGGTCAGCGTCGCCTGGTTTCAGAGGTAAAATTAGCGAGAAAATGGTCGCCAAAGTTAGGTAACTTCCATAGCCTGAAAGTCCTTGGAAACTGAAAATTTACATTTTTGTGCCTTTATTGCAAAATCCACACACAAAAATATGTTTTTACATGGACATGAAAGGTATTGAGTCATAACACGAAAATTAGGAGAAAAAAATTGCCTATCGACCAAAAAAAAAAAAAAAGTAAAAAAAGTAAAAAAATGCTCATTTCTTTGATTTCATTATTTTGACGAGCACCTGATTCCACCGCGTTGTCATACAATTAATGATTCACGTTGCGATCGACACAATCAAAATCAATCTCAAGGCGGGCTGCTTCGTTCTTATCTACCAGAAATAACTTCGGCTAAAGGGGATACGGTATCCCACCAAAGGCGAGATGCTACTGTTGGAGAGAGAGAGAGAGGGAGAGAGAGAGAGAGAGGGGGGGGGAGTGAGAGAGGACAGTGAGATAGAGGGGCCAAAGAGTGAGAGTGAGAGCGAGTGAGAGAGAGAGAGAGTGAGAGAGAGAGAGAGAGAGTGAGAGAGAGAGAGAGAGAGAGAGAGAGAGAGAGAGAGAGAGAGAGAGAGAAGGAGAGGGGAGGGAAAGAGAAAAAAAGAGAAAAGCAGAGAGAGAGAGAGAGAGAGAGAGAGAGAGAGAGAGAGAGAGAGAGAGGGGGAGAGAGAGAGAGAGAGAGAGAGAGAGAGAGAGAGGGGGGGGGACAAACACAATACAGTCGAACCTGTGTAAGACGGCCACCCATTGTCAAGGAGAAAGGTGGCCGTATAAGACAGGTGGCCGTCTTAGGCAGGACTGATCGAGATGATTTACACAGTTAAATTATATAGAAAAAACGCAAGCGGGGGAAATGGAAAGTGTCCGTTTGTACAGGTGGTCGTCTTATAGAGGTGGCCGTCAGGGCAGGTTCGACTGTACATGCCAATATCATAGATCTACAATGAATAGTTTGCGTGCGATTGTTCTGAAAAGTCAGACAATACCACTAGGGAACCTGAGAGGTAAAAATCTGTTAGGGTTTATCCTGAAACGTAAATATCCCCTACAATCAGTGGAAATGAAAAAGATCTCATTTTCACATAGAGCCTGTACACTTTTATCTGTCCACGATAAAGAAAATAAAATCTACCTCATTTATTGGTTTGCCAATGCACATGGAACTTTGCATGGGACTACTGTAACTGTACGCCAGCCACAAAACAAAATAAATATTATATATAGGCTATCTTGAAAAAAAAAATCAATAAATATTGTACAGTTCCAGTGCCGATAATAAAGAAGTAGGCCCTTTTTTTATTTGGACCCTGTATAAAACATCTTCCTTTAGATGTATACTCAATGAGACAAGCTCACCTCGATACACAGGGTTACTACTATACGTGACTTATTGTAACCAGCCTAAAAATTGCTCATTCAATTTTGAAATATCGACACCAGTACCCTTTCCCCACATTCTTTTCAGTATAAGCTAGTAGATTTCCTCCCAAGACCGTCTGTAGTCGTCTTCTCTTGGATCTCGAAAAGTACTCATTCGTCTGCTAGACTGTGTTTCGTAGGGGTGCGTTAAAGTGAGGGGATAAAAGGGAAAGGTCGTCCTTTTATGTTTTAGGTGTACGCTGTAAATTAAACTCCAAGTAATTTTTTTAACCCACATATTATTTAGGCTAACATCAAAGAAAAGGTATCGGAACCTTAAATTGTACAAATCAACCAGATTATGTTGGTCATTCAACTTTTAGATCCACCTGAAAGATAGAGTATATCAAACAAAGAGATTTGTTTTGTCTTCTTGCAAGCGCGGTCAGACGAAAGTGAACACACTTTAATGTAATAATATTATTACAGTCTTAACCGAAAACAACGACAATTGTATGTAGTGCTCTCTGCAGAAGGAAAAGTATAAACAGTATCCGGAAATGGGTGTTACCAAGTGACATAAGTAGACGCCTAAGAAGCCGGAAGGCTCCGTGGACAACGTAAACATACGTTGGGGGGAAATAATTAGCGAACGAAAGGTGTATCAAAGGGGTAAGAATGTGAAAGAGAAAGTTCTGTATTGGTATTTACTCTTTGACCCTCTTGACAAATACATGTACCCGACAATTGTTCCCAGATTCAAAGGAGAGGATCGGTGCCGTGCCGTAGTTTCCCCGTAGCCTACCGTCAGCCGTGAGTTTTAATTAACCCTATCCGTGCGCCGTGGGGTTATTTGTACCCCGGGGTTGCATTCTTCACATGTTAGAATACTTCTATTTGCGAAGATCTCTTTGAAACTTTCAGTATTTCTCAAAAAATCATTTTGACAGACTGCTATGCAAAGCGTACGGATCAAATTAACGAGTAAATTTGTCCTTGGAAAGTGGTGGCGTGAGAGTTCCCCACGTTGTATAGATACGATAATAAAACACGACGTACAGATAGGATTAATAAATCAATCACTGTCAAAATGGCCTATGTTAGTCTTAGTTCAACATTGCGACGAGTCAGAATTGCATAGTCTGTATATATTAATACTTTCTACACACTTGTCCAGTGCTTATAGGGTTTAATCGATAAAGGACGAGTTATTTAACGTACTTGATATTTATTGGCACATTTGCTTATCATATCGTCATGGATGGATGGGATAATGGTTGCATGATCATGATTTTATAGACAGGGTCATATATTATTATGAACAGTATACATACAACCCTAGCTTTTCATCTTTGTTTTCTACCTCCCTCCCTTTTCCTGTTGTGTGTGTTGTTACGTTGTATTGTTGTTGTTGTTGTTGTTGTTGTTGTTGTTGTTGTTGTTGTTGTTGTGTGTGTGTGTGTGTTATAATCACTTAAATTTATAGCTTTCTCTCCCAGATTTCTTTCTCTCTCTCTCTCTCTCTCTCTCTCTCTCTCTCTCTCTCTCTCTCTCTCTACCTTCCCTTAATCTGCCTTGAACAAAGTGGCAATACAGTGGAACTCAGATTCAGCGAGATCTCGGATTCAATGAGATGAGATAGATTCCCCGTTTTTTTAATTTTTAAAACTAATAAAAATAACCCGGATTCAACGAGCACTTAAATCAGCAAACTCGGATTCAACGAGGTCGCTCCCAGGGTGAACTGTTCACAGCCCCCGCAGATGTGGCTTTACTCATTTTTCTCGCAGAACAAATTTTATCTTTTCCCGGAAACCATTCATTGCACTTGCATCGTGAACCACTATTCACTTATCGATCAATCAGCGGCCTTTTTTCATTCCAACATATGCGTTGTTGACATACACACATGTCTACTGTGGCGTGTGTCGGGGGTCAGATGGACGGCCTGCATACGTGTGGCTGTGTGTGCATGTCGGGGAGGAGGGGAGGCACTAGCGGTCCGGGCGTTGAACGTCGCCGATACAAACGTGTCAGTCTTTTTTCCCCCTCGGCAACTGATCATTATCACTATGATAAGCTAGTCTTGACGTAGATCTACATAATGAATTGTGCGCTGGTCTATGGAATCAAAAGTTGCCGTATATTAGGCTCTACACAGCAACCCAACTTTGTGGCAAACTATCGAGATGACACATGCGTGTGCATTTGAATGAAACGGTCTTTTTTTTCACAGCTCATAATATGCAGGCATTTCAGGCACTACTTGTGACTTCTCTTTATACATTACTTGCTCAGTGCCTGTAATTATCTACACAAAATCTTGTGTCTGCTATAACGTACACTCGGATTCAACGAGGTTTTAGGTCAGGCCCGGCGACCTCGTTGAATCCGAGTTCCACTGTAGTAACCTCAATGCAACGACTCCTCACCTATTCTTCCACCTCGAACCCCTGTATACTGTTATAGAAAGGTTTTCTGTGCCAAAGAGTGCAGACCTTTTTCTCCAAAATTTGTTAAGAGGCAAAAAAGTCTATTTGGTTTGTATGCACACAATCTTGGTTTCTTTCTCTGAGGGCAGGGGGAGCAATTTAGGGGTGGGGGGGGGGGGGGGGGGGGCATTCTCTCAGTTGTAATGGAACAAAGTCATGATGTGAGAAATCTAAATAAAAGCTTCTTTTTTATTGAGTTTTTTTTTCCAATCTGAAATGAAATTGAGGCCAACCAGAGTATTCCTAGGAATCCGTTGGTCTAATATTGCCAAAAGTCTTTGACATCACACACTTTCAGGGCTTTTTTTGTCTTGGTGAGCATGTTTACTCATTTTTGCAAATATCTCACCTGGAAGTAAGCCTGCAAGCATGTTATACTGTCTATAAAACTAACAATTTTGTGATGAGATTAGAGGACATGATTATTTCAAGGCTAACAAGCTCCTTTCTTAGTTTTACTGTGGTATTTATGGCAAGTCTGCGAAAAAATATTCACTTCTTACTTAGATGAAATAAGGCTGATGAAATAAGGCTGATAGTATTGGGTAAAGAAATAAAAAGAGCAGACCACATCAAGGCACCTATGAACCACCAACTTCCTTGTTCAAACTAGAACTGATTTTGTTTCTTCTCTTCTAGTAAATAACGTGAGCCACAATGGCGGTGGCAGAGGCTGCTGTGTCAATAGCACCAGCTGCTGATGAGAAGCCAGAGGGAATACAGTGGTTTTCGATGCGGCCCAAGCGGACGCAAGCCATGCCACAGCACACACTTTTCGGAACCAACATGGAGAGCTTTGACAAGAACAGTCTAAGGGACACAGAGGCACGATACATCCCAGAGGGCTACATTAGGCCTACCCCAAACAGATACCCCTTACCAGATTACCTCCAACACAAACTCACGGGTAAGATTCTAAAAGTAGGTCTGTTTCAAGTTACCCATGATTTGTTTGATATACCTTTCTCACAAAATTTGGTATTAATAATGGTACTTTATTTTATTAGATGTTCCAGATAGAATGGAGTTATTTAAAGTTTTTGGGATGAGGTGAAAAGCAAACACTTCAGTATGATTTTCATGCTCTTTTCAATTTCCTTCTGATTGTTTTACATACAAAGAATTCATCTGCTTCATGTAATTCTGCGGTTTGTAAATATATGTATGCACTTTTAAACTACCAGTGAAACTACATACCTTGGATTTTAGTTTGACTGATGTTCATATGCTGTTGTGAAAAATTCTAGGAATGGAGAGGTAACTTTCGCCTGTGGCTTTTTTTTTTTTTTAGATCATAAAAGATACTAAAGTAATGTATTGGACTAAACATTGTTAATGAATTTTTATCTCACTGAATTCTCTTGTGACTTTGTTTCTCTCCTTTTAAATTTTTTCAGGTCGAGAGGCTCTGGAGTCATCCAGACGGGACTTGCTCCGACAAAAAAATGTCTTCTCTGAAATTGATAAGGAACTGCGAGCAAAAGCCCAGGGAGCGCTTTCATTCAAGGAGTCCAAGCAGCATCCAAGCCAAACAGCTCGTAGTGATCGCTCCAAGCGACCGACATGGCTGACAGAGGAGGATCTCAAACATTCTGAGGACATCAACATTGTTGGGCTTAACGCTAGAGGGAGTTACAATAGAGATAAATATGGACCAAAGCCCAGACGTCACAACTACAGCCTGATTGGGGACGTTATGGCTAAGAATATGGAGTTCAACACTCCGAGAGTAGGAATTCAGGATAATGAGGAGGCATTCAGAAGAGGAAAGGCATGTGGCTGGGGACCTGGGCGTCAGTTGCCGTATGAGCTTATGGATGATAAAACAAAAAAGAGCAAATCAAAGTCAAGGAGCCTTGTTGACCTACCTCCAAATATACGACACACATTTGGCAGCAGAGTTTGTGACTCCCTTTTATCAGATAAAGAGCTAGTAGACAGGGCAATGGAAAGACAGAAAGTTAGTTCGGGACCCCCTCGGCCGTCAAAGAAAGAAAACGTTGAGGGTTTGCCAGTTGACCTCAAGGGTAACTATGAGAGTCTTGGCCAAGCCATGAGGTATAACGTGTTTCCTGGTCTGACCACTGAACACACAATAAGTCGAACTCAAGACGATTTCAACGATGAAGTCCACCTGAGACGTGTACCAAATCCAGACGAGTACAGATATCAGAGGGATGAACTGAGTGAGTCTACCTCTCCTTTATAGAACTGGTGTGTTGCCCAACTAACATTTCATGAGCATTACATGTGGCTGTCACTAAACATAGACCTTGTCTTTTGGAGTTCAACTAGTGATAATGCAATTTAATTTTTTTTTTCAGTACAAAAAGAAGTACTGATATAAAATACAAATAATGCTCTGTCCATCATATTTTAAGCCATGCTAAAAACATTTTTTAAAAATTATGACTCTGCAAGATCTTATTCAGACTTACTTCTTACTTGAACAAAGTTATGGTCACATGTAGTGCAATCCAGTTTTTCCTTCTTTAGTGACTCCCTGTAGTTCTATATCTTCCATGCTCTCCAGTCTCTCTCTTTCATTTTTCAGAAAGACAATTAGGTCAAGTTATGGTTGGCAGCTCTATCATCTACTTTACATTATAAACTACTGCAATGTAGGCCTATTCAAAAGCTAAATGAGAAAAACATACATACTACTATGACTTTATCTAACTTTAATTTTAAATAAAAGTAAAAATCAGAATAATTATCAGAAAGGCTGAGTCATGGAACAGATGAATGGGACAACAGTTACTAATTATTTATCTAACACTAACTGCACCAGACTATCAAAACGTAAATGAATATACTTCTTTCTTTGATATCACTGTCTGTTGATGATGATCTAGATAATTGACTTATGCTTTGAAAGTATTTCTGCCAAAATTCTACCAGTGTTAAACTTACTTTGCTTTCCTGTCCCGCTTACGCACTCAGGTAAAAGGATGACATTCGTTTGTGGAAACATTTTGATGAGAATGTAATTTCTCAGCTGGTAACACACTGGATAAAGATGTCTACCTAAAAGTTCCTCATTTAATGTAAATAATTTTAAAGGAAAGAAACATCATTTAAAAGCGTAAGTGTCTCGGAAAAAGTTGTTATCAGCAATTTTTGTTTTGAATGATCAGAAAAATATAAATGGTGATGAAAGAAGTGTTAAGGTAATTTTATTTTAACATGATGATTTTTAATTCTATTCATAGGTACATGGTCTGAGCATAATGTTCTGAGAGAAAGAATGAAGAAGGCTTGGAATGAGACGCATCCAATAGGTGGCAAGAAACCATAGCACCCCCACGTCTGCTTTTCTACCTCTGCATTGGGCAATCCTGATGGATAGATAAAGCTCTTTGCCTCACTTTTTCTGTTTTTTTGTTTTGAAGTGTCATGCATTTCTTTTCCTTTATATTGCATTCTTTGGCTATGTACCAACAATAACATTGCTATATATACTTGTTTTTGCTGTGATAGTGTAATTGTGCACACAGTATGTTTTAACCTTTACTGGGATTCGATATGAGTTTCTTTCCAAGCAAAACGAAACTAATATTGATTATTGGAAAATTATTCCCCATAGACTCTTCTTGTTTTTAAAAATGGGGTAAATTATCTACATAATACCTTCTACGACAAATATTTTCATTGCGAAATTCATAGTGTAGGTATATTAATATTATACTTAATCATCATCTGACAAAAAACTTTTGTTAAGAAAGAGAGTAGCTTTAACTTCCATTTTACATAATATTATATTTGTGAACAAGCTATTCAGTAAAGAGACTAAATTGAAGAATTACAAATCAATTATGATGTGCTTTTACTATAATATTCTTACAACGTAGAACAAATACTCATTTTGTAGATTCTTTTTTTTCTCTCTTTCTCATAATATCTATAATTGCACATATCAGAATTATATAGTTAATTTATATGTAAGTATAACCTACAACTTCAAGCATGCTGCCAAATTGACGTTTTTGTTACGTTGTGAAACAAAAACACAGTATACCAAATTGAATGTGCCTTTTGTATGCTCTGCTTCGTGTAGAAATATGTCCCTACTTTGAAAAAAAAAATTATTTACACAACACATTTTTATGTAATATTGTGATAAAAAATCTATGTATACTTAATTGCTGTATGACTTTGGAAATTTTGGTAACTATGACAGCATCGTGGATTATGTTTTGAAGGCCTTTAGCTCAGGTTAAAACAGTCTTTTTCTTTTTAAGCTGTGCACTATCTGGCCATATTAAAAAAGCAACTCACTCTGTGCAACCGGCCCGATAAATCAAACCAGGCATTCTATTGTTTTATAAAAACAGCAATATCTTGAACTCCCAGAGGCATTTTTTTAGTCCTCCATAGTTTTCTATAGGTGACGATTGTCTTTTATAGCCACGAATGGTTCGTAAGCTTAGTTTCTACATAGTTTTCTGTGAATGCCGACAATCTGGTTGAAAAGGCAAGCCTAGCTGCTAACTTGTGGGCATCATTTTATTTTTGGCATCTACAGTGAAAACTGTCTAAGACAGCCACCCATTGTGGAGGAGACAAATGGTGGTTTTAGACTGGTGGCCATCTTGCACAGTGTCATTATAATGTAAAAAATGTGTGAGGCAGGAAATGGGAAAGGGCCAATTGTACAGGTCATTGTGTTATACAGGTAGCTGTAAGAGCAGGTTTGACTGTGAGATTTTTACTCTTACTTTCAACAAACAGTGTGAATATATAGGTATAGATTTACCGAAATAATCTCTTTTTTCTTTTCAATATTATATTCTGTAACATGTGTAAAAAAAAATTTTAAAAAGGCCTCTGTAAATATCTTTCAATATTGCTCAACCCATGTATTTTACTCATCATTGTTCAGTGAACCATTGTTTCATGAAGACAACCAGTACCAGATATTTATGTTAGAAGTGCCTCAGGTCATGTTACAATAAGTTACATGGTTGTGTTCTTTCTCTGTTTCTGTTAGATTATTGTCATTTTTATGCCTACATTGTGTATTATTCTTCAGCTGTTTTCATGTGGGAGCCTAATTTGTTTGGTATTATTAACTGTTACTGATAAACTATTGCTTATAGTGTTATTGTGAGGAACATGATAATTAATGGTCATTTAGTGAAAGGGAAAAAAGAAAAATACACAGACAGAAACAAAAGAGGGTGAGAAAAGAAATAGGACTAACCTATTGGATGCCATCCTACCACCCACCCAAAGGGAATAAAAGACTGGTTATAACCAACAGATCACCCATAAGCCGCATGCCTGTGAAGTTACAAAGTTACTCAAAAGACTAAAAGTCATTCATCACAGATATAACCAGCTGAGAATTTTTAAAATTCTAGTTGTACAAAACTTCATTTTTAGGAAACCCATCATAATGTTTAAAATATGGCACCAATTGCTTTAAGCCAATGAAAACTGGAAGGCAAGACAAGGGATTGGTTATTTTTCCCTGTCATAAAAATCTGTTACATTGTTTGTTCCTATATGTTATGTAAACTGCTATGAAGCCAGCCTTACAGAAATTCTGGTTCGTATTCCTATAGGCATATGGGTGGAGCAAGACGTCCTCCGCAAACGCAGAGAGCAAAAGTGGGTAACTTATTTTGAAAGCTTGCCCAAATTTTCTGTCAGCTGGGACAGAAATGCCAGCAGGCCCATTGTCCAGGTGACGAATCCAGCGCCAAAACCAAAACCAAAGCCAAAGTCACGCCCTAAGCCGAAAGCAGAGCCTGAGCCAGAGCCAGAAGAGGAGATAGTATTTGTGACCCCACCTCTTACACCCCCACCACAGCAGCCGGAAATTGTGGAACTGCCAAAACAGTTTGAGAGAGATGACGAATTCTGGAACTTTTTTGACCAGACATTGCCTAGGTAACAAATTATTGAAACCTCTTTCGACTTATTCATTATAACAAAGATTCTTCAGGATTACTTTACCTTCAAAGTTTTATTTCTGCAGTATATGTTGCAAGAAAGTATTATGTGAAATAAAATGTTGACTTATATACTGTTTTTCATTCTATTGTCCTACTGTTTTAAATGAGTACAGATTTGAGTGGGTGGTTGATGAATGTTTTCATGTGGTTTGTTCCTTCTTTCCTATCAAACAACTATCGTGCTTATCTCTCCTCCCCTCCTACTCGCTTCTTCATCATCATCATTGCCTTTCTCACCCTGGGTCAGGGTATATGCCACGAACAAACACTTTCCACCTTTCCCTATCCTGGGCTAGCTTCTTGATGTTATTCCATGTCTTCCCTCCTCTGATTTTATGTTTGTTACTTGCTTGTAACACCCCTATAACACCTAATATGACCTAATTGTGTCAAAAGTGCTATAAAACTCTGACTAAATAAACAGATTTGATGCCCAAGTGGGATGCTCCTTAATAAAAAGACAAAAAGCAGTTTTTGAGATACTTGAATCAACATAAAGTATAAAGGCCTTGGATAACTTGCTTTCCCTGGGGAAATTGGTAACAGAGCAACCTGGGTGACGGGGAAAGATCAGGATAATAAAGGTTTTTGAGAGTATTCGAACAAAGACATGAATGGCGATCGCCAATGAATGTTTCAGATGGCACTTTATGATGAGGGCGAGTTTGATGTTCCTTTCAACACTGTCAGATTATTTATGAGGACTTGAACACCCATCTTGGATAAGACAAAGCCAGCCATCATCTGTGGTGAAGTGGTTAGGCGCTTTGCTGTCAAATGCAGGAGACCCAAGTTTGATTCCCAAGTGGGGAGAATTTTTATCAAATATCTCAGTCTTTGCGCTGGATTTTTTTATCCAGGTGTAAGAACTCCCCAATGACATTTCGCACCTGGTTCATTTAAACCATAGCTCAGCATGACATCAACAAAGCTAACAGCACACCATCTAATCTTCCCTTGGATAACCTGGATTTAGTTAGTTTTAGTAAGAGGAGTTTGACACCACTTGCAACACAATAAGGTCATATTAGTGCCATAGATCAGAGGTGTTACAAGAGTGTAACAAACACCGAAAAGAAGGTGGAGAGATAAGGATGATATATTTGACAGGAAAGAAGGAGAAAATGACACAAGAGCACCCACCATCCACCCTCTAACCTGGCTTGTCAGGAGCTGCATGGTCCAGACGTAAGGTAATGGTGGTACTTTCTCAACCTGCATTAAACAAGTCAGTTTTTGCTGCATCAGGCCAATACACAATCTCCAGTGCATGTTACTTTAACTTAAACTCTGTGGACCCGAGTGCACACATTAGCGTACTCTACCTTTACCTTTCTGCAACAAGGCATGGATTTCTATGCGAAGTAGTAGTTAGGAACTCCACCATCGACTGCAGGAGACCCTAGTTGGATTACCGGAGTGGAGAAAATTGTTATCAAGTATCTGGGATGTTATGTCTCTCTCAGTTCCCATTGGCCCTGACAGGCAGGGTCGAAGCATGCCTCCTAAACTATCTAAATTTTAATTGTTATGAATGGGGTGTTACTAGAAACACCTACATTAACTTCCTTCGGCCAGAATGACACGCTCCAATGTCGCCGATGGTTCATTTTTTGAAATGGTGAACAAGTTAGATCTAGATAGAAAATAGAGAATCTAGTCTTTGAAATAAAAACTTATTTAAGTCTTAATAACAGCACAGATTTAGTTCTAGCTGATCAGGAAAATCCATTAAATAGGTGTCGCTTGTTTTTTTTTAAGGTAGGATGTTGCTAATCAAGATGGGATCCAGTTCATGCACATGGGTCTTGTGGGCTCAAGGGACAAGGGTTCAAAGGGTTGATATAGATTTTGTTTTTTAAGTAAGAATTTTAAGGCATTTGCAACAAAATTTGGTCATATAAGTGCAGAAGATAATGGGTGTTATAAGAGAGCAGCAATAAAAATAAAAAAGGAGGAGAGATAAAGACAATAGATATTTGCTAGGAAATAAGGAGCAAACCACATCAGAGCAACTGCCAGTCACCCACAAATGGTTGATTAATTAAGACCAGCATGTTCTCAATCACGAAACTCCACAACAAACAAACAAAAAGTTCCAATAAATAAACAATAGACACCAAACTTGATTCCACCTCCTTTTTTTTAATAACAAAAATATTGTGAAAGACATTATCTTGGAGCAACAACTTGAAATTCACTGGTTGTTCCCACAAAGTTTGTGAGTGTGCCAGTGACAGTCTTAGAGGTACCAAAGTGTTGGATACGGTATGTACCACTTTTCTGTCCTATAGGAATGTCCCAAATGATGAGAGCTTCACTGTATCCTAGGAAAGTTTCTGTGCGAATCCAGTGGAATCTAAAAGAGAACAGATTGTGTGAAACTCTTGAGAAATTCAAGAAACCAATATATTGTTTCACGTTAAACAAATATTGATTTGCAAATGATAAAACTCTGATGTTGCTCCCAAATGCTGAAAAAATAAATATCATTTTGGCTTTTTAAGGGAAAACTTTGATAAGCTTAGGAAGGAATATTTCTGAGCTTCCAAAAAGTTACCAAGCCAAATAGTTTGTTTTTGTCTTTATTTGTTAAAATTAGCTTTTGTGTTTGTCAAAATGTCATGAGACTACTAATGATTAATTCAATAAAGAAACTAACTTAAAAGTTAGATCTGCAGTGTTATTATGTGGGGCTTGCATTGGGGAAGTAAGTACTTGTAAGATAAAGATAAAGAACATTGATCAATGTACAAATAATATGCTTGAAACAAAATGTAAACATTAACGGTTAGCTATGTAAAATCTATCAATATCAGGAAGTACCATGAAAGAATCTATAATGAGCACTCAATATATTACCTCCCTCCCCCCCCCCCCATCTCAAACAATATAGAAGACCACTGACCAGCTTCATTAATCATCTATCCACAGATATAAAAAATAAAAACCCACAAACACACACACGCACAATGTTTTTTGTTTCAGTAAGAGTTACAAACAAAGAAAAAGAGGAGGAGAGATAAGGGCGATAGATGTCTGATAGTAGAGAAGGTGCAAACCACACCAGCGCACTCACTAACATCCAACAAAAAAGATAACTTAAAAAATGGCATGCTCGAGGAAAAAGCCATGTTGACTTATATTTGATTTTAAGCAAAGGAACAAGTACTGAAGCAAGAATGACAGATGTGTTCAAGAAAACTATGCAAGTTTGAGTAAACAGAGGTACATAGACACGATAGCAGTTATTTAGAGCTGAGAAAGAGCAAAACAGACAGAAACAACAGGGGTAAAGAAAAGAAGTAAGACCAGCTACCCTCCAACCACCAACAAAAATTAAGCTAACAAAACTACAGATGTGAAAAAAAATAATAACACAGGCCTGACTAACAAAGCAGAGTTCAGAAACTGCTTGAAGTATAGTATCAGTGGAGGAAATTGTAGGTATTTTTTAATGTCTGCAGAACTTGTGATAACAGACAAAAGACAGAACAATTTCTCAATTGATGATATATATAAGTGCAACAACATGACAAAATGAGTCGCTTGTCGCACTTAGCTGTATTTAGAAATAGGACAAAATCTCAATGTTCTTATAACTGTGTGTTTCTGCTTCCACCTCCATAACACCCCCTTGCACAACTTCTAATTGTTGAACCAAAGAATAATACTTCAATACTGTTTAAACCCACTTGTAGGGCTTGAACAGAGCTTTAATTTGATACCATTATTAGTGTTACACTGTCAAAATACTGTGTATGTACCTGGTTTCCCAGTATGAGTCGGAGAAAGCAATGATCCAACGCCCACTTTCGTCTTTCCTCTCAACACTCAAGAAAGTGCCATTTGTCTGGATGTAAATGATTTTAAAAACATGTAACACGAATTAAAATGATCAAATCACAGCACATCTTCTAACATCGTCAACCACAAGCACATTAGCAGCCACACATAATAACAACAGCTACAAAAGAAAATGAATAAACATATCAACAAAGGGATAAAAAATATGTATGTGAACTTCAGTAAAGTTGTACATTAACAGATCATCAAATTCAAAGTAATCAATACAAAAATTAATAAATCAGAAAGATAAACCTACCAAACACATACAGTTATTAAAGGATGCTTTTTCTATTGTTTTAGAACAAAAAAAGGATAAAATACACTCATCATACATGAAAGCATAACAAAACACTAGAACAGATACATGCTCATATTCACATATAAAGTTTTTCAGCATGCTTCATCACTCTGCTTTTCTCTTCAATTTCAAACAATCTAAACAGTAACCATTCCTTGAAACAATATTATGAGTATTTCCTAAAAGCATGGGCCCCCTTTCTTCACAACCCC